GGGCAGAGATGGGAAAAATCCCTGGCCCTTTTTGGTGTACCCCCATCTATGGTCGAGAATCTTGTCAGTTTGTTATTTTATTTTTATTATTTTTTGTGGTGCTGGGCATTAAATCCAGGTCCTTGTGCAAGTAGGTTAGCAGGTACTCTACCACTGAACTGCGTCTCCTGTCCTTGGTTTTGTGAAACGGGTTCTCACAGTTTACCTCAACTGAACCAACCATGTATTCTAAGAGGCAGCATTACAAGTGTGTGCCACCACACTCCCTCTCAAGGCAGTGTTACCTCAGGTCTTGCCAGCTTTTTAGGGATCCTCCATCTGACTAACTTAGACCCTAGCATATGCATGTCTTTGAGTAAAGCCATTAAAGATTTCCAAAAGGAATCTTTGTTGGAGCCGTGTGTGTGTGTGTGTGTGTGTGTGTGTGTGTGTGTGTGTGGTAGATGGAGGCTGTTGTTTTGCAATCTATAAAAACTTATCTGGAAGGAGAATAGTTCCCTAATGAACAGTTAAGAAGCTGTAATCCAAAGGAATAGGAGAGGGGTACAGAGCACACAAAGCAGTGCCCCCAAAACACACAGCTGCATTGCTCATTACGCTAATGTGGTCCTGCTCTGGACCTTTCAGGAACCGTTGGACTTCACTGGAAGCAACAGTAAAATCCTGCTTGTGGAACACCAGATTTAAACATTTAACTCAAAACACACTTGCTATAAAGCTAGCGATGCCCCACCATGGGCTGTCAATCCGTAGGCTTCCTCTTCTTACCATGGCTATATGTTCATAAGACACCAGGTAACTAGCTAAGGGAAAAATGCTGTTCTGTGAGGTTACAAAACCCATGACCCTGGCTGCAACTATAGCAATTATTTATTTGGGTCACTTTCATAGTTTCCACAGAACTAAAGGCTAGCTTCCACACTTTATGGGAAGCCAAGAAGGGGATGGTGGAGCCAGCTTTTTTAGATTCCAGGCATCAGAGAAAGCTCTCACAGGGTGTTAGCATTGTCACCAGGGAATGAAGGCGTTTGACTGACTTTGTTGCCCAAATAAGTAGAGGCATTTAAGGGAATAATGCATCTTATTTGCGATGAATACTTTTTCTTTTGGACTGACAGCCAAGACCATTTTTCTGACTATAATGGCCATTTCTTACAAAAGGACGGGAGGAGGTGCTATCTGTGTGTGTCTGTGTGAACCCATGCCAAGTATGTGAACCATGCATGCCTGGAGCTCCAAGTTAGCTTTCTCCAAGTGTTTGATCATGTTTCTTCAAAAGCTTAATTATGTGTTTCTAATATACCTATACATTTATTGACAAATAGACAACATTTTGTCTAGAAGTGCCAAACTTAGTAGATGTTTTAGTTAATCTTTTATAACGTAAAAAACAACAACAACAACAACAATAGATACTTAAAGCAAAGTGAACAAAATGCAAGTTTTAAAGTATCTTCCGTGCCACAGGATGTCATGCAGTAGTATCCTTCAACTAGTTTAGGGACTTCTCATCTGGACCACTTACCACCTTTGCGGCCTCCTAGTACCTTCAGGATAATGGAAACTTAGGGCCTTTGTCTTGTCCAAAGTGTGTTTGTGATGAAACAGTGTCATAATGCCATGAATTCTTGTCATTCTTTGTTAACAGTGGCTTTGTAGATGTCAGTGTCTGCATACATGAAATACAGATACTTGCCCACCTCATAATGCTTATCATTTTTGAGGATTTATCTTTAACAATTATAGAAAGATTTAGGCTTGTGGAATCTTTACCTATCCTTCTTTCCCTTCCTTCCCTTCTTCTGTTCAATTACTAATAATGTAATTTTAAGTAGACCTTCTTTCTTTTTTCCCTTCTTTAACATTTCTGAAGTGATTATATACATTGCTTGCTACAGTAACGTTTATTGACTATAGGCCAGGAGCTTGCTCCTCCCTCTCCCTTTCCCTCTACTCCCCCCTCCTTATCCCTTCCCCCCAAACTGGTATTACAGGCATGTGGATGCTGGGCACTTACCCTGGGTCCTCACTGAGCCGTCATCTCTCCAGCCCCCGTCTACCTTGTTGTTTTGAGACAAGGTCACACGCTGAACCTGGAACTCACTGATTTGACTGGATTGCAGCCACTGAGCTTTTCGGTGATCTAACCATTGCTATGATAAACATCCCCTCTGTACATTGTACATTGTGACAAACTGGTTATGTTCTCAGGTAAATGCCTGTAAGAATTCCTGAGTGACTTTTAAAAGCAGAGAGAGAGAGAGGAGAGACAGAGAGAGAGAGAGAGAGAGAGAGAGAGAGAGAGAATTTTGATGGCTGTGGATGTAGCCCTGTGGTAGTGACAACCTGAGTTCAATTCTCAACACTGAAATTAATGAATTGTACATTGAGTCTAATGCTTCAGTCCCTAATGTCTAGAACTTTAAATAACTTGGTTTTGAAAGGAATTTATTATAAGAAAATGATCAAATGATCTTCACTACAGACAAGCCCTTTCTTCCTTTTTTAAAAATTTATTATTATTTTTTTAAATTTTTGCCTCAGGAGAAGAGAAGAGGCCTATTTTGTGGACAAGGTTTCCAAAGAAGGGAATCCCTTGGCAAGAGTATAAACAGCTTTGGCAGAAAGTCACCCTCCAAAGGGACAGGGCTCAGCTTGTCTTAAGTCACTGAGTGAGGATGAGCTCAAGGCCGAAGGGATGTCCCTGGGAACAGTGATGGCCAGCAAGGGACTGTATGGGTGGAGACACTGTCTTACAGGGAGCCACTCCATTGAGATTCCATGAGCTGTATGACTGCTCACTGTATTTTACATGGACCCACAATGTTCCCCTTAGCTTTTGTTACAAACACAATCACGATTTAATAAATGGATAAGGTATAAATACTATTAGCTTAGGTTGTTTCCTTCCCACTCTCCCTTTTCCTCCAGTCAATAAATAAATACATTCTACATCTACAAAAGCACATCTTAAGACTCATCTCTGCCGGGGTACACATATAGAGAGCTCTTTTTGCTCATTGTATTCTGGGGTGGCTCTAGATAGGTATGTATTCATGCTGCTTATCTTGCCTTTTCAAAATTCGAGTGTGTGTGGGTGTGTCTGTGTGGGTGTGTTTTAGAGTTGTAATGCTGTTGTCTATCAAGAATCTCTCTATAGTTCTGGGATTTGAAGTCAGATCCTTGAGTTTATAAAGAAAACATGTTACTGAGACCTTCTTTCCCCCTTTAAGACAAAACTTTGCTGTGTAGGCCTGGCTGGTCTGATTCCATATAGTCCAGGCGAACCTCAAATTTATGTCACTCCTCTTGCCTCAGTCTCCGGGGTACTGCAGTTCCAGGTGTATGTCACCATGCCTGGCTTTCAAAATGATCTGTTTAATTAAGGAAATTGCCAACTGTGTGAATGAATTTCTTGGAAGAATGGATAACAAGCCAGCCACCCCTTTTATGTGTAATTATATGTGCAATTGTGTGTAGCATTGATGGTTCAGTATAGTTTTATGTGAAAGGCATGAAGGAAACATTCCTAAAACTCAAGTGTCTTTCCAGTTGACCCAGAATGACTGGCAAGAGAAATAAATAGCAGGTGGCATCACACACACACACACACACCCCATACCAAAACTTCCTCATCTAGGCAGCAAACCTCTTGAGTATCTACTATGTGCCTGACATTTTTTATCTGTTATCTGTCTTTATCTAACTCCATCCCGCCTTGCTAAAGCCCTGTGGTCCCTTCCCACAGCTTCCTCATACACTTAGGAACTTACACTTACACTTAGGAACTCACAGCAAGTTTGGACCATTTGCTTATTAAAACCCAAATCTGTTATTTCCTTCCTTGAAGGCCCTGTTACAGAAGAATTTTATTTGCAATAACCTTTTAAATTATTAAGTACATAGACCCAGAGATGGAAACTTTAGAGAAAAAAAAGAGAAAGATTATATTATAATCATTTCCTGGAATTACTACAAACTTGTAACCACTGTCATGGTTAGGAATTATTCCACTGTGCACTTAAAGTTTTATCAGTCCCCTGTTTACCGTCCTAAAGGCAGTGGAACCTGGGAGAATGGAACCTAAAAGTGAAGCGGACTAGAGTCTCATGCAATAGCCAACTTTATTCAGCGTCAGACAGTTATACTCTGGGGGTTGGGCATGGTCACATGAGTAAAGTTCTCATGAGGTCAAGTTGTATACAACCACAAGGACAAGCCCCACATAGAGAAAACATTCTTCTCCATAGAGGCAATATGAATTAGCAACAGCTGAAATAAACTGGCTTCTATATCCACTGTACCTGGAAGGAGCATGCAAACACAGTCCAAGAACAATTCCATGTTTTTGGAGAAACAGAGGTCACAAGATTCTTGTCTTGTGTTCTTGAAGTTTTCTCACAAACATTAAGAATCCCCCTCACAGAAGTCCGTTTTTTTGGTTTTGTTTGTTTGTTTGTTTGTTTGTTTGTTTTGGACCATGTTCTGTCTGACCAGTGACCAAATTGTTCACGTGTGTGAATTTATTACATGCACATTGAGGGTGCTCACATTTTGTCATTCACTCTTATTGATCATGTTTGGGCCATAATTATTTTAAGGCTATGTACTGTCATTATGACTGACAGAATATGGTTTATTTTTAAAAAGGCAGCTTGTATCACTTCACATAGGAGAGTCATTTAGATGTTTATAGATTAGGAACACACTCCTTAGAGCTAAGTGCGGAAAATGTCTGTTTCACACATTAGTGCATCTGTTTTGACAAAGCTGTCACATTCTTACTGCATTTAATGTGGTGGCACCTCCAGCATGCCACTGCACGATCATGTGACTTATGCTCAGAGTATTCGCTTTATGCACTCGAGACACTTAATAAGCTGCTTGGGGATTCAGTGGGTTCTAGAGAACATTCTAGTAACCTTTGCCTCCCTGGCTTCAGTTTCCTTTAAGGTCCTGCGTGGCAGCTCCTCATTCGTGTCTTTTCTTTTTCCTTTCAGACAATTCCTCCTCCCTCCAGGAAGATGAAGAAGTAGAGATGGAGGCTATCAGTTGGCGGGCTGGCAGTCCAGCCATGAATGGGCACCCCACTGTTCCACCAGTGACCACTGCACGTTTCCCCAGCTGGGTCACTTTTGATGACAGTGAAGTCAGCTGCCCTTTGCCGCCACCAGTCACCTCTCCCATGAAGCCCAGTACGCCGCCTGTTGCAACTGCGATCCCGGATGTACCTTACAACTCAACTGGGTCATTTAAGAGGGACCGGCCCAAGAGCACATTGATGAACTTCTCCAAAGTTCAGAAGCTGGACATCTCCCCCTTGAACCGTCCACCTTCTGTAATCGAAGCACCGCCCTGGAGGGCTACCAATCCTTTCCTGAATGAGACCCTCCAGGATGTCCAGCCCTCCCCTATCAACCCATTCAGTGCTTTCTTTGAAGAGCAGGAACGGCGCTCCCAGAACAGTTCGGTGTCCAGCACCACAGGCAAAAGCCAAAGAGATTCTCTCATCGTCATCTACCAGGATGCCATCAGTTTTGAGGATTCAGGCAAAAGCCAGCCCCAACCTGATGCTGCTATTGAGAAGCTCAAACAACTCCAAATTGACGATCCTGATCGTGTTGGCAGTACCTCCCTGCCTGATGATGACCCCATAGCCTGGGTTGAACTAGATGCTCACTCTCCCGCCTCAGCTCTGTCTCAGCCCAGAGATGGATGGCCAATGATGCTGAGAATCCCCGAGAAGAAAAACATCATGTCCTCTAGGCACTGGGGGCCAATCTACATCAAACTGACAGACAGCGGTTACCTGCAGCTGTATTACGAGCAAGGACTAGAAAAACCATTCCGTGAGTTCAAGCTGGAGATCTGCCACGAGGTTTCAGAACCCCGGCTCCAAAACTATGATGAGAATGGGAGGATCCACAGCTTGAGGATAGACCGCGTCACTTACAAAGAGAAGAAGAAATACCAGCCCAAACCCGCTGTGGCCCACACAGCCGAGAGGGAGCAGGTGATTAAACTGGGTACCACCAACTACGATGACTTCCTGAGCTTCATCCACGCGGTTCAGGACTGTCTCATGGATTTACCTGTGCTGTCCATGGACTTGAGCACGGTTGGCTTAAACTACCTCGAAGAGGAGATCACGGTGGATGTGAGAGACGAATTCTCTGGCACAGTAAGCAAAGGAGACAACCGGATCCTACAGCATTGCGTCTTGACGCGGATCCACATCCTGAGTTTCCTCTCTGGGCTCGCCGAGTGCCGCCTGGGCCTCAACGACATCCTCATCAAAGGCAACGAAATCGTCTCTCGTCAGGACATCATGCCCACCACCACCACCAAGTGGGTCAAGCTCCACGAGTGCCGTTTCCACGGGTGTGTGGATGAGGACGTGTTCAACAGTTCCCGGGTTATTCTGTTCAACCCTTTGGACGCGTGCCGGTTTGAGCTAATGCGGTTTAGGACTGTGTTTGCCGAGAAGACCTTGCCCTTCACACTCAGGACGGCGGCGAGCATCAACGGGGCCGAAGTAGAGGTGCAGAGCTGGCTGAGGATGTCTCCTGGCTTCTCTTCTAACCGGGACCCTCTCACTCAGGTCCCCTGTGAGAATGTGATGGTTCGCTACCCAGTGCCCAGCGAGTGGGTGAAGAACTTCCGCAGGGAAAGTGTTCTTGGGGAGAAGTCTCTGAAAGCCAAAGTGAACCGGGGGGCAAGTTTTGGCTCGGCTGGTATCTCCGGCTCCGAACCTGTCATGAGAGTAACTCTGGGAACTGCCAAGTATGAGCATGCCTTCAACGCCATTGTGTGGAGGATAAACCGGCTGCCAGACAAGAACTCAGGTAGGTGGGGATTCTCCGGAAGACAACCCCTGAGGCTGCTTAAGAGCTGGGGGTCAACCTTCTCCAGCCTATGCCTGTGCAGCATTTCATTATGTTGTGTGCTGGAAATGGTGGCAACAGGGAAGGGAGGATAGGAATCTAGAAACTCTGCGTGTACAACCAAACTCTGCGTGTACAACCACAATGACCTAGTATATGTCAGCTGTTCCCCCACCTTACCATTCTTCACTGCCCATAAAATGTATTACACTACTCAGCTGAGCAGCTTTCCAGGGCAGCTTCTGAACTGTGTGTGTGTGTGTGTGTGTGTGTGTGTGTGTGAGTGTGTGCAAATGCACTGTATATGAATGTACGTATGTGTGGAGAAGCCAGAGAATGTTATCAGATGTCATTGCCAGAGTACTTGCCACCCTGTTTGTACGAAAGGGTCTCTCACTGGCCTGGAATGTAATTGACTGGCCAGTGGAGCCCAAGTGATCCACCTATCTTTGTTTCCCCAGTTGTGGTTTGCTTTATGTTGTTTTCATTATTTTATTATTTTGTGTCTGGGTGTTCAGGCTGCACACACATCTGTGCACCACATGGACACATTGCCTGCAGAGGTCAGAAGAGAGTTCTAGATCCCATGGAACTGGAGTTCCAATGGATTATGACTCACCATGCTGATGGAGGGAATAGAACCCAGGTCCTCTGCAAGAGCAGCCAGTGCCTTTAACCTCTGAGCCATCTCTCCAGCCCACCCCCAGCTTTGGGATTCTGTGCCAGCTCCACCACATCTGGCTCTTTTACATGAGTTCCTAGGATCAAATGCAGGACCTTATATTAGGACTTTACTTATTGAGCCATCTCTCCAGCACCTTCAAGTACAAGAAGCAATTCACTCCCAGATGAATGAATGTGGGTTCTGAAGAGGAAACTGTGTCTCCTTCATGAAGGCGAAAGAGCCAGTTTCTAACCAATCACATACACGGTAGGTGGGAGAAACGAGCCTCTGCAATTAGCTACTGTCAATCATAATATCTCCAGACCCAGGGTTTGGTTTGGGACTCTTGGTGGAAAAGAGACTAAATAACCAGGACACCAAGGTCCAAAGGGCCAGAGTCCCACCAGACAGAAAATAGAGAAAGGGATGTTTGATTTAAACAAACAAACTTCCCAGACTAACTGTCCTGCCCACAGCTGGCGACTGTGCTGCTGTGTCTGAGGGATTCCGGAAGGTGGTTACTAGCAAGACTTTAGGAGTGACAGCAAGGCAGCAATAGCCAGCTGTGATGGGTTTATTTTCTGGAGTATGCCTAAGTGACCTGAGTGGCCTGCAAAGAGCCTGTGATCCCACAAGCCTTTAAACCACTTCTCTTGTCTGTAATAAACTGTGCCCATCTGTTAAGGAAATGTGGATTAGCTAGTCAGGCAAAAAGAAGGAAAAAAGAAAAATACTGGCTTGAAATCCTGGTTGAAACGCCATGCCCATGCTGTCTTGTATTAGCACTGTTGAATTAATACAGTGTGTTCAGGATGTTCAGCTACAAGTGTGGAATGGCTGCATTATCATATCTTAAATGGAATTTGATGAGATAGCAAAAGGCCATGCAGTCTAATCAACTCCTGAGGCTGCCCGGGGAGTAGGCAAACACCGGGCATTCTGTGTCTGACACTGGGTGTAGCAGTGGGAGCCTAAGAGACAATCAGACCTCTGTGCTGGAGGCTGGGGCGGCCAGCCTCTGCTTCCACACTGACAGGAGTTTTAAGAAGGCTTCTTCTTCACTGTGCTTGCCCACTCGTTGCTCAGCACTGTGTCCTCCTGGTACTCATGTGCTGGCTGCCTCGGCCGACCACCGGGACCCACCTCACCCGACAGTGGAAATAAGAAGCCCTGAATTCTCCTTTGGCAAGAAGCCTCCCAGGGAAGAGAGAGCTCTGAAAGTACCAGGCTTTCAAACTGGGGTCTTAGATGAAAGAGTACAATCTAAGAGATGGCATTACTCACTTGAAGTCACAAAAACACTGACAGGGGTCTCTTCTCAGTACCACTGGTCTCCCTCATAGATGGAGCCAAATAGATGAGTGAGTTCCAGGACAGCCTCCAAAACAACAGAAAAACCCTGTCTTGAAAAACCAAAAAGAGAAAAAGAAAAAGAAAAGAGAGCTCCAGAGCAGCACTAGTCACATAAACTAATAGTTGTTTCTTCAATACAGCCATGGAGACAAATTTTTATCATCACTTTTGGTCCTTGGGCCTCTTAGCTCAAGTTGACAGGTGACCAGAGCAATCAAGATGCAGAGACAAGGAGGAGTGCTGCTTACTGGCTTGCTCAGCCTGCTTTCACATAGAGCCCAGGACCACCAGCCTAGGGATGACATCGCCCACAATGGTCAGGGTCCTTCACCATCAATCACTAATTAGGAATATTCCCTATAGGCTTACCTAAAGCCCAACCTTATAGAAGCATCTTCCCAATTGAGACTCCTTCTTCTCTGATGACTCTAGCTTGTGTCAAGTTGTCGTAAAACTAACCAGTATAGCTGGCAAGCATTGCCCAGCTTCTGCCTTCCTGTTCACAAAACGAAAGAGCTGGTGATGAACTCTTGATTACAACCCATTTTCTGAGTTGTTTGTATAGGTATTACACTTGGTAAATTGCCATTTTAGGGGGTGGGTGGTTTTTGTTTTTTTTTTCAAGACAGGGTTTCTATGTAGCCCCGGCTGTCCTGGAAATCACTTTGTAGACCACGCTGGCCTTGAACTCACAGAAATCTTCTGGCCTCTACCTTCCAAGTGCTAGGATTAAAGGTGTGCACCATCATGACCCAGCTAGGAAATTGCTTTTTACAGATTGTTCTTTCATTACCATGAAAGAGTCTGGATCCCAGCAAAGGCCCAACAGACTAGTCCCTCTGTATACACTGTCCCCTTGGTCCTACAATGGATCATGCATGGCCCACAGAACACACTAAGAGATGAAACATTTGGTCCTGCATAAGTAACTTTTTCCCCCTGGGATTCTGGTTCTTATTGTTCTAGGTAAAGAGAAAACACACCAAATGTAATGCATCCCCCTCCCTTTTTTTTTTCTTAAAGAAATAAAACAAAAAAATTAATCTGAATTTTAATGCTAAATTTCATCAAGAAAGACAAGTTAACATATATAGTGAGAGACTTAACTAGTTGTGTTACCATGAATTAAACTATACCAGCTCTCAAACTGCTTTGCCCCACCTGTCCACCACCCTTACACATTCAATAGTTGAGGCTAGGAATGCAGGACAAGATGTGGCTTACAGAGTTTCCTGTGAATGAATACGTTTAGAGGCAATCTGAAGAGGGAGAGTCACCTTTTAAAAAAAGGGAAGACTTCTCAGTATTCCAGCAACATCAGTTAAAGCTATTTAGACCAAAACAATTGTTCAAGTTCCTATTGGAGTTAAGAGGCCTAGTGCACTGGAGTGAGCAAATCCTGTAGCAGGGTACCAAGTATTTAGGACCTGGTTTAGAGTCAGCGAGATCTGATCTTTATTCTCAGCTCTGCTGCTTAATGGTGGTATGACCTCAGGCAATTTACTTAACCGGAAAAATCTAATTTTTCTCATCTATGAAGTAGGATTACTAATAGCTAGCTAGCTTATTCAGAATGCGATTGGACGGTGCTTTTAAGTGTGAAGCAAAGTGTCAGTGGTGCTGATAAATGATGGCCCTATAATTAGTCTGTGGCACACAACAATAGATTGAACAGCTTCATTTTCAGATACCATCATGTTTTCTTATTATTATATGTATCTTATTTCAATTCCTTTCCTAGAAACCAGTGCAAATTTTTCAGTTCAATTTCCTGGCCTTACTCTTTAAAAAAAAAAAATTACCATTAAAGCATTTTACATTTGTGAAACAGAGAAAAACAAATACTTCATTCACTCTGTAGCATTCTCCTTGGAGAGTGGGTGTGTATGTCCTGACTCTCCGAGATTGAAAGATCCTGCCCGGAGCAATAAAGAAAATTGGAGTTGTTTACTTGGAGAAGCACAATCAGTCAGAGCCATGTCACGCTGTTCATCTGTCGCCGCTTGCTGCTCTCCATCCCCACGCTCTTGTCCCACAATCTGGCCTCCATGTCTGGGAACCATGAACTTATGACTCAGACAAAGGAGTGACATCCCACAGTCATAAACAGTTCTGCCAATTTCTAGCTGTGATCTGCGACAGCTTATTTTGCCTCCAGAAACCTCAGTGACATTAAGGCAGTGGTTCTCAACCTTCCTACCGAGGCAACCATTTAATTTAATACAATTCCTCATGTTGTGGCGCACCCCCCACCCCCAACAACCATAAAATTACTTTATTCCTACTTCAAAACTGTACTGTTATAAATTGTAATGTAAATATCTGAGGTGTAGGATATCTGATGGGAACAGAGTCTGTGTGGACCGTCCAGCGGCACAGGACATCCAGTCATCTCTCACTGTGTCTGATGAAGGACGGTGATGCTCGAATGTCATAGTCGTAGAACTAAAGTCTCTTTTCCCCCTCAGATCTAACTCATCAAGTGAAAAGCAGATCCTAATTTTACCTGTGAAGATCAGTTGACCCGTAGATAGAGTTACCCTCCATAGTACCTCACTGCTATTTAAGTCTGTATTTTTTGTATGACCCACCTGTTCATACCCCCTCCTAACCACTCCACTTTCCAGATGGGGAATTCAGGGCAGAAGAGAACAAAGGCCTTTCCACTTCCAGGAGAACTGCAAGTCAACTGAGGCATTACGACTACACTGTGACTACAGATCAGATCGTCTGTCCGTTGCACTGTGTTCCCCGATTTCATGCGTGCTTCTCTAAGTCTGTCACTTTCATATGTCACCCACCCACAGAAACACGCCTGAGGCATCTCTGAGAATATAAAATGCTATTAAGAAAATTCATCTTGTAAAGGAAAGCAGTTTGCTCCAGGTGGCTGTCACTGATGTCTTATTAGGTGTCAAGTGCTAATCTCATCTCTTCACTCATAAGCGCCTCTTCCTTAGTGTAGTGTCCCTGCTGTGTCATCATTGTTCTTTGACCGAAACAGGCATAAAGGCCCCAGTTTCTCAGACTGTGGGGTTTTGGTTTTTGTTTACAAATGATGTTCAGTCACTTTGATATTTATTTATTTATTTTGTGTGTGTTGGTGTTTTGCCTGCATGGATGTCTGGGTGAGGGTGTCATATCCCCTGGAACTGGAATTACATACAGTTTTGAACTGCCGTGTGGGTACTGAGAATTGAACCCGGGGCCTCTTAACCGCCGAGCCGTCTTTCTAGCCTGTCTCCAACTGTGGCTATTATGCTAGTATTCTAGGCTGCAGTAATCAAGAGGCATCAGATCCGAGAGTCTGAGGCACACAGAGCCTGATGTCTGCCTACGGAAGCTCTCTTGCTCAGTATCAGACCCTCCAAAAGTGCCAGGTGCACAGCCTGCAGACCGCCAGTATTATCAAAGTGGCTCTTTGGCTTCTTTTCCTTTTTAATTTCATCCTCGAAGACATTGACCTCTGGATTCTTTCTTTCTGTTATAGCTTCTGGTCACCCACACTGTTTCTTTTGCCACCTTGAACTTGGCTCTGACCGGGAAGTGCCTTCCAGATTTGCCAATTACGTAAACGTCGAGTTCAGCATGCCCACGACTTCTGCCTCCAAAGCAGCTGTGAGATCCATCTCCGTGGAAGACAAGCCTGGTGTGAGGAAGTGGGTCAATTATTCTGCACACTACAGCTACAAGGTAGCCTCAGGGGGCTCCGGGCTGATGTTTCCGAGTCCATTTGTTCATTCCATCCCTCCCCCTTCTTCCTTTAGCAAACGCTTCTCATATCAAGGAACTTTCCATTAATAGCCATGGATGAATCAGCTCTGACTTTAATGAAATAATCTCTCCTGGATAAGAGAAAGGTTTGGAAAGAAAGAATTAAGGGGCTGGTGACAGAGAAGAATATAATGTCTAACATCATGAGTAATATCAAAAAGAGCCGTGGGGCCAAGTAATAATTGTTACTCATATGTGGCATGCATAATCCGTGTTTTGGAGTGAACTTGGAAATGCAGGGGAGTATTGGGAATGTGATAAGCTGAAGTGAGTATTTCATCTACAGGAATCGTACATCAGAACACAGCAGAGGCGGGCACAGGGCAGTAAGAGTAAGGCTTAAAAGCCAAACCCTTTCACAGTGACAATGGGATGAGATGTCTTCAATCAATGCTGGAGAGCTGGTTTTCTTGGGGAAGGGAAGGGGGGACGTTGCAGACAGGGTCTCCCTCTGTAGCTCAGTCTGGTTCAAGTTCTGCTTTCCTGCCTCTGAGCACTCAGATGATAGGTAAATCGCTGTAAAAACAAGGACTTTTAGCACTTGTAGACTTCGGTAGAAGATCGACTTCCAAAGAGGGGAGAGAGAGAGTCATTAGGATTTTGCAAAGTTGTTTGATAATTTCCTATGTATAATGATTCCTGCAGATTTATGTAACGTATTATTCCTTTAAATATATTCTTAGTTGTGTCATCTAAAACCTTTTAACTACCAAAAGTTACAAATTCCCCCATCTTGTGGCCAGGGAAAAACCTAGCACTCCCCACCTCACCCCATGTGGAGAAGCCTAATCTTCAATGCACGGCTGAGGACCAACTGGGATGATGAATTCCTTAGTTCAAACAGTCCCTTCCTGACTTATCAGAGGTTTTATTTACGGCGAGCTACTCTTTAAAAAGATTTGATTATTTATTTGTTCATTTATTTGATGTATGGGGGTGTTTTGTCTGCATGCATGTCTGTGTACCACATGTTTGCAGTGCCTGAGGAGGCCCTGGGACTGGAGTCACAGACACTGGTCAGCCACTGTGTAGGTGCTGAGAAGAGAGCCCAGGCCCTCCGGAAGAGTATCCAGTATTAACCACTGAGCTGTCTCTCTACCCAAGGCCTGTGACTTTCAAAGGGCAACTTCTTAATAGTATTTTGCAGAAGACGGGCTAGACTAGTAAATGCTCTGATACTTACTAGCTTAGAGATTTAAAAGAAATGAAGTAGTTGGAGGAGCTTAAGTGGTCAATTACAAAAGGCTTTCTTTATTCATTCCATAAACTCGGCAGTTGCCTACTGGATTTCTACACCATTGGGCAAAATGAACTAGATCTTGCTGCTATCCCATGGAGCCTATGGAATAGTGGAGCCAGGGACACCAGAACTATTCAGAGGAAACCCAGTCTCCCTACTGAGGAGCAAAGATAATATCTGAGCAATTCTGAAAGAATAAGAGTTCCCTGGGACAAGTGCACAAGCAATGATGTGCAGAGCATAGCAACTTCCCTGGGAGTTGTGGTCCTAGGGACTATGGGCCATAACAACCAGTTGACCAATCAACACAGGGCAAGTCCTCCAAGCCTGGAGGCACACCAATCCTGAGCCTGTGCGTATGTCTAGACACTCCCCTTATGCTGTCCTATAAGATCTTTGTCCCGGGGTTTCTCGGGGTCTTTTCCCAGCCATCCGCCATAATGGATGGATGAAAGGCCCGAGCTAATGGGGTTAGTTCGTTAAACAACTGCAATAAAGCCTCTTGCTGTTTGCTTAAAGTTAATTAATTAATTAATTAATTAATTAAGGAGTTCCCTAGGACCACAAAGAAGAGGGAATTCCACACCTTAAAGGGGATCATGGTATACTCAGGACTAGTGGTTCCATTATGGCAGCAGCCCAGAACAGCCACAAAATTCCAGGCAATCCCAGGAACCTTCTGAGGCCCTTTTGGCTCATTTGTTTTTGTGCTTTTCCTCTGCCTCTTATTCCTGATGTGTTCTCCATCTTTTATTTCGGCAGGTGGAAATTGAACAAAAAAAGAGTTTGAAGCCAGACTTTGAGGGAGAGGAGCTGGACAACCCAAAGGAATGTGGGGTACAGTGACAGTGGCCTCCTGTGTAAGGACCTGAGGAATGCTGAGTCGAAATCGGGTGTCTTCCTGAATAACTCAAGCTTACGTCAACACCTGCTGTGGCTGCTCCTTGTTGGGGGCAGTCTACCACAGTTTCCTGTGTGCAGTTAGTTACCTGTGAGTGACAGGAAATCCTGAGGGGCTGCTTTCAATTGACTCCTTGACGCTGAGCGTGCCTGAACACATGGTACACGCGGCTGCTGGAGTTTATTGTATATTGAGCCTCCTTGTCTCTTTTCTGCTTCTATCATGCACTGGTGTGTGGTTGGTGGTGACTGTTAGAGACCCGAAAAGAATGGCCAACCCCAGCATTGGCGCAATTTGCTCCCAGTATCCATCTGTCACTCGTCAGCTTCTGGACAAAACAGCCTGAAAAGTTAATCAAGAATCCATCGCCAGCGGTCCTCTGTAAAAGAGTCAGAGGAGTTTCAAAACAAAACCATTTCCTCTTTGGGTCTACTAGGCCTTTTCTAGAAATCTCCATTCTTTAAATGCTGGTTTTACTCCACAGAGTTTTTCCAGGAGTTTCTCTCCTGGTTCTGGATTGTTCAAGGCCAAAAGTCTCAACCTCGACTTTTCCATTTGCTATCCTAAGTCACAATGCACAGTGGGAGAGGCCAATCAGATTTTCTTTTTCAAATTCAGGGATTGGAGCTTAATTCTACAAATGGACTGTATTGGATTCACAGTCTGTCGAAGAGAAAGGAAAGCTGAATTTACTTTTCTTCACTTGAAGGAAAAGGGACGTTAAGTGTAAGTTTATATTCAGTTCAGAAGGCAGCTTCAATCATAATGAGTTGCCAAATTCTCATCGATCAATTCTAATTCCTGAAATACTGGCATGGCTATAAGAGAGGCAAGAGAGAGAGAGAGAGAGAGAGAGAGAGAGAGAGAGAGAGAGAGAGAGGAGACTTGGCATTTCTTTTTATACCTCATAGGCAATGACTGTTACATGGCCCTTTAATTTAGAGGAAACTGAGATCGATGTATGAGCTTTACCCCAAATTCAGAGGCTGGTAGTCTCAGTGTGGTGAAAGTTCAAAAACAGGGAAGGCTCCAGGGTAGAGCTGGAGGAAAGCCAGTTTGCCAGTGTCATGAACATGAAATCCTGATGCCAAGAATCAGAATGGTCACCTTTTCCCTCATGTGTTCCCAGCCCGCCCACTGCTTCCTCACTCCCTGTATGTTTGAACCTTGGTGTTTTCTCTCCTGAAGAATAAAGCGGGGGGTGGGGGGGACGACACAGAATGCTCATTTTATCAGACTTGGGAACATATGAGAATATAAAATGCCTGCAGTTTGGGACTGACTGATTCAAGATTTATATATTCAGCTCATATTTAGTAAGATCAAACTATGTTCTGCCATCAGGCATTAGAAATCATTGCAGTGTTTTGGACTACGTTCTTTTGTTTTCCAGACAGGGTTTCTCTGTGTAGCCTTGGCTGTCCCGGAACTCTCTCTGTAGACAAGAATGGCCTCAGACTCAGAGATTTGCCTGCCTCTGCCTCAGGAGTGCAGGAATTAAAGGCATGAGTCACCACTTTCCAGCTTGAACTATGTAACTATCTAAACATTAGATTGAAACAAAAAGGAAAAGCTGTGTGGTCATAGATGAGAAGACCTGTATTTTGAGTTTTTTAAAATGCAACCTTTTCAGTACAGATTGTTTGTGTGTGTGTGTGTGTGTGTGTGTGTGTGTGTGTGTGTGTGTGTAATTCAGGGGGGTTGGTTTTATAGCAGTGCATATAGAAATGTTTTCTTGAGGAAATGGGTGTTCATATTTGAAGTAGGAATGTATCATGGCTGTTCACAAAGCTAATGCATTCCATCTGTGGTGGTAGGTGTTCAAACAACTCTGCATGGTGCATTGGCCAGCACATGCCTTGAATGGAAGGTTACATTCAATTATAGCTACTATATTTTAAGGGAGACATTAATATGGTGACTGTGTCCACATAGGCAGGTGAGCAAGGTTGTGAAGATCAATCATGATTATGTAAGGAACCGGGATTGGGGGTGGGTAGGGCTGGGAAGGGAGTTCTGGGAAGCTGGGGAATGATGTTAAAGCTGCCATAAAGTTTCTGCTAAGCTATAAAAAGGAAGAGGAGTTAGATTTGTTTTGCATAATTTCAAAGGCAAAAAAATAAAATAAAATAGAAACAGAAGAGAACTTTGCAGATGACAGATGTTTGCTCGATATAAGAATCTCCTAGTAAGAAGTGTGCTAAAGAAGAAAAGGGTCAAATAAGATTTCCTGCTGTAGTAAATGCCCAGAGGTTAAAACGAAGGCATCTACCCCAGGCGCTATGGAAGGGACTGTCATGTTGAATTTTGGCAAGATGGCAGGAAAGATCTTTTGCAAATAGACTCGATAGGAATGAGGCTCTCTAGCTGCAGATAGCCTTTCCTCTGTGTTTTCGTGCTGTTGGGGAAGAGTGGGGCCCTTGAAAAGAACATTGTTGAAGAATTCCATGTCATTTCCGATGCTGGGCCAAAGGCCTTGGGAGTTCCCAGAAATCCAAGGGCTTGGAGAGTTGGCAAGATGAATAAAGGTCATCCCTAGCTCAGAACTGTCAGGGGCCCTGCCTCGCTGGCAGCTTAGTGTGCATGGCTCCTGCCTTGTCTTCTCTCCCACCCCCTTGGCTAATTCTCTTCACCTTGGTGCTTCTCCTGGACTGTTTGGAGTTTTGCAGTTGTTTTGCCATTAATCAAAACTTGGGGAGAAAAGCCTCCCCTGTGCTATCTATTTTTAGCAAGCAAATTATCCCTAATTTTTTAAAAATCTACTACCTTGGTCCCATCAAATTTGTTTTGCCTCTACCATGCTTAGGGTCATTATGGATAACATGTAGGGAGCTGAGGAGTATAATGAAATGTATTTTAGGGCTTACTAATAGCCTACATAAAGGAGCTGGAGAGATGGCTCAGAGACTATGAGCACTGACTGCTCTTCCAGAGGTCCTGAGTTCAATTCCCAGCAACCACATGGTGGCTCACAACCATCTATAATGAGATCTGGTGCCCTCTTCTGGCCTGCAGATACACATGTAGACAGGACACTGTATACATAATAAATAAATAAATCTTAAAAATAATAGCTTACATAAAAAACATAGTTGAGCAAATTGCCCTTTTGATGTGCAGAACATGTGTGCACGTTGGACCTCAGTATTTATTTTTCCTGTGGTTACCAAAAAGAAAAAAAAAAAAACCCTAGTCGATGTTATCAATAATGTAAAAATATAAAAAGGGGATGGGTTTTACCAGTACAGTTAGGACATGTTTGGTGCCACATGGTATAAAAAACTATTTATTTTTGAGTTTAGGGTTTGTTTTTCAACTTTACAATGAAAAAGGATTTAGAAAAAAACTCATTCTACTATATCAGACAAGAGGACTGGTAATGAGGCTCTGTAGTAGAGAACTTGCCGAGCATGCACAAGGTACCAGCACCACACAAACAACAAAAAAAGGCAGTGGGGGGAGGACAGATCACTGACACCCCTCTTATATGCCGAGTGCTACTTAGTTATTCCTTATCCACAGTTAGCCCCTTGTTCTTATTAGATTTTCCAGACTGTTTTTTTGTTGTTGTTTGTTGTTGTTGTTGTTGTTGTTGTTGCTTTGTTTTGTTTTCCATTTGCTTCCTCATCTACTCACTACTTTCCCACATTTACTGTCTGGACTTATGTTCAAGAGTATTCCTTCATTTAAAAGAGTTCTTATTTGAAATTAGACTAATTTCTCTTTAGAAACATGGTTGGGGTCAAGAATGTATGTCCCTAGAAGCGCTATTCCTGAGAAATTTGATACATGAAGACAAAGAGCTTATCATTGTGGTTCAAATGCCTGTCACAAAGTGTGAGCTACAGTAGGGCCCAGCCACCTTAATTCCTTTCTTCTAAATATACTCGTTAAATGAATGGAAATTATCAGCACTTTGACTCTGAGGCTACTTATCCAGTGTTCACATTGTAGCTAGCAAGCGGGCATTTATTTTCCAGAGGACTTAAATAATTTTGCTTTGCTTTTATTCCTGCCGCCTGTGTCAACCAAGTGTCAGGACGGAGGCACTTAATGTGTGGCTGAATCTGACCCCCAATGTTTCTTATTCATATTGAGAACCGTTTCTATCCTCAGAGATGGAGGGGCACAGGTGCTGTCCACAGTTAGGCTATTGATCCAGTTTGATTGCTCCTAGTGAGACAGACCTGCGAGCCTCTGTCTTGCGAGTGAGAGCTCCCAGAGAGGCTGATGGAGTGTGCAGCCAATCCTGCTGGGTCAGGTCTTTGTCCTCCCAACTGTAACCACTGACCACTGCTACTGTGCACATCATGTTCCTGTGTGAGATGGGGGTCTGAGACAGGAAGGCTGAGTGAGGCTCGCCAGATGGAATAATGATTTCTATTTTATCATCAACTTATTTTATCAATCATTTCTATTTTATCATCAGATTTTTCTATTTTTCCTTGAAAGCCCTAGGAATGAATTGTTCTGAGCAGGAAACACTACCATCCACCCTACTTTTAGAAATTCTCGTGGTAAATTTAACTCTGGCTTTCCTGGAACTCTGTAGACCAGGCTGGCCTCGAACTCACAGAAATCTGCCCATCTCTGCCTCCCAAGTGCTGGGATTAAAGGCCTGTGCCACCATCACAAATTTAAATCTTCTAAATGGTTGATTTAAATTAATCCTAGCTCGTCTAAAGTTGAGACTGTGATTAGAATAGAATTTGATAGAGAATTCAAATGGAACTAACAACAAATTAATAAAAATATACCATCTAGTAAATGAATTTTGTGTTAACACTTCACTACCAAACTATGACAGCATTTTATATAAATTAGTCAATATATTCTCACTATGGTTCTAATGGATGTTTCTAAACACAACCAATGTCCATTTACCAATTTCCTACATATCACCACATTAAATTATGCTCTTTGCAAATGAGATTGGCTTTGAATATTATCATTCATAATTGTGTATTATAGGAAATATATATGCAGGAGATATAGAAGGTCACCTAAGCAAGAACATGGAAGTTTTATATTTTCTTCTAGTGTGCCTTATACTACATTCTGCAGAACCTGGAACTATGCAAATAAAAACTGGACATAATGAAAAGCTACTAAAGAACAGACTAAAGAAAATAATTTCAGTATGAAAAGAGTTGGAGCACCTGGGCGTTCGTGGCGCACCCCTTTAATCCCAGCACTCGGGAGGCAGAGGCAGGCGGATCTTTGTGAGTTCGAGGCCAGCCTGGTCTACAGAGTGAGTTTCAGGACAGCCTCCAAAACAATACAGAGAAACCCTGTCTCGAAAAAACAAAAACAAACAAAAAGAGTTGGAGCATATACAGCATGGGTCACCAAGACTCAACCTGAACTGGAGGCTTTCTCTTAGAGTAAGAAGCTATGGGAAGGAAGGGGGCATAGCAGGGCTAGACAGCAGAGCTCTTCAGCTCGGCTCGGATTATGTCAAGTGCTCTGGTTAAGGTACCATGTTTGCAGCCAGCTTCCCTGAAGGGAAGAGAGGCCACACAGTAGGATGCTGAAGATTGTTGTTGCAGCCACACTGTGATGGCTTTATGAAGGAAAAAGTTGGGCTTTCTGTGGCTGTGCAGAAGCATGGGACAATCACTATTGCTAACTCACCTGTTAGTTTTCCCAACTTGACTTCAGTTTCCAGAGACAAAAGAGAGTTTGTTGGTTTTTTGTTTTTGGTTTTTTTCCCCCAACCCTGGTTTTATGGGCTGTTTCACAGAATATACTTTCCTATACATTTCATTGATATTCAGTGCCCCTGTGAGTGTGTGTGTGTGTGTGTGTGTGTGTGTGTGTGTGTGTGTGTTTCAGAACCAAGAAGTTTAAAATATCTAAGTTAGAGATACCAACTATTTTATCTTTTTCCTGCTTGAACTCCTTCCCTGCCCCATCTGCTTAGATGACAGAAATGCAGGAAAGCCCCCCAATTCAATGTTCTGCAGTTGGCTTCAAATACCAGTTAAATACGAAGGCCAAAAGGGCACTCTCCCAAGTGGATATTGGGATGTGAATATACCAGGTAAAACATAAGTAGGTCTAACCCTCCAGGTTACTGAAGATGTGAGGATGTAAGATATTAAAATGATCTATGATTTACAGATATAGCCTTTCATTGGGATGACTATAGGAGGGGGGACACAGAAACTGTATTTATAACGAAGTCAAATGAGAGAAAACCGCATGATAAATTGTACTTAAATTTTTTT